AGTTAGCATTTAGCAACATTTATAGTTAGCATTATGCTACATTTGCAGTTAGCATTATGCTACATTTGCAGTTAGCATTATGCTACATTTGCAGTTAGCATTTAGCAACATTTATAGTTAGCATTATGCTACATTTGCAGTTAGCATTATGCTACATTTGCAGTTAGCATTATGCTACATTTGCAGTTAGCATTTAGCAACATTTGTAGTTAGCATTTTGTTACATTTGCAGTTAGCATTTTGTTACATTTGTTGTTAGTATTTTGCAAACTTCGTAGTTATTTTGTTACATTTGCAGTTAGCATTTTGTTACACTAGTAGTTAGCATTTTGCTACATTTGTAGTTAGCATTATGCTACATTTGCAGTTAGCATGTTGTTACATTTGCAGTTAGCATTTTGCTTTTGTTTCTTTAATTGTTTTTTATACTTTTAGATTTTAGACCCTGNGCTACAAGTAGCATCGTGCTATGACTGAGTTATGCTTCTAGCTGTTTGGTTAAATCTTTAGCTGTGATTTTGCTACATGTAACCTCACGCTAAAACTGAGCTAAGCTTCTAGCTACAGTTTGGTTAAATCTTTAGCTGTGGTTTTGCTACATGTAGCCTCATGCTATGACTAAGCTTCTAGCTACAGTTTGGTTAAATCTTTAGCTGTGGTTTTGCTACATGTAGCCTCACGCTATGACTGAGCTAAGCTTCTAGCTACAGTTTGGTTAAATCTTTAGCTGTGGTTTTGCTACATGTAGCCTCATGCTATGACTGAGCTTCTAGCTACAGTTTGGTGAAATCTTTAGCTGTGGTTTCAGCTTCTTTTGGCCTAGTTTCATCAGTCTTCGGCTGTTCTACATGATACTTGCAGCTGAGTGGTTCAGTCAGAGGTTCTGGTCCGGTTGGTTCTGGAACAGGACGAGGTGTGAAGTCGTGGGCTGAGCGGCGCTGAATGTTCTCATGTCAGACTGTTAAATAACCGGTTCTGTTCGGTCCTCAGGAACAAATGTCAGCGCACGTTCACGTGCACACTTATCTTCATTTTAGTTACAAAATGGGTCCAGATCCTGACCCAGATCCTGACCCAGATCCTGGTCCAGATCCTGACCCAGATCCTGGTCCGGAGCTTGTAGAACCAGCAGCAGGACTCAGAGGACTTTTCCCTTCAGCACGTGGCTGCAGAGCCTGCTGCTGAACACGACACCAGACCAGGTCTGGACTGGATCAGGTCTACCAGGACTGGATCAGGACTACCAGGACTAGATCAGGTCTACCAGGACTGGATCAGGTCTACCAGGACTGGATCAGGTCTACCAGGACTGGATCAGGACTACCAGGACTAGATCAAGACTACCAGGACTGGATCAGGTCTACCAGGACTGGATCAGGTCTACCAGGACTGGATCAGGTCTAGGTGCTTTCAGCTCGTTACCTCAGTAACTAGCTTATCGTCACGGCGACAGGATCAGAACAGAACCCTGGTTGTTCTGGTTACCGTGGTGACGGCTGCAGAAACATGAAATCTGTCATCTCTGAGCTGCCAGGAGCATGACTCATCCAACGCATCCAACGCTGCATCCAACGCTGCATCCAACAACACGGCATCCAACTAACACTGCATCCAACAACACTGCATCCAACAACACTGCATCCAACTAACACTGCATCCAACAACACTGCATCCAACAACACTGCATCCAATTAACACTGCATCCAACAACACGGCATCCAACTAACGCTGCATCCAACTAACACTGCATCCAACTAACACTGCATCCAACAACACGGCATCCAACAACACGGCATCCAACTAACACTGCATCCAACAACACTGCATCCAATTAACACTGCATCCAACTAACACTGCATCCAACAACACTGCATCCAACGCTGCATCCAACTAACACTGCATCCAACAACACTGCATCCAACGACACTGCATCCAACAGAAGGTCTGTGTTAAATCAGCTGAACATGTGTTGTTGGGCTGACCTGAGTCTGTGACGTCAGACTGTTCAGACTCGGGTCTTGCAGAGGTCGGTGGTCTCTGTGGAGCAGCAGCACCACCTGGTGGACTCCAGGGAGAACCACTTTATTCATTTAACCAGTTTGATTTATTCAAGGATGAAAATAAATTATTCCTTGATTCATTTAAAAATGTGGGTCAGTTATTTATCTTTACATGAAATTTAAATAAACTAACTTTTTATTTTAGCTTTTTTAAGGCTGAACATAAATCCAGTAAAACGTTAACAACATTTGGGTTTATTGATGGTTTTTAGTTTAAATAACAACCACAGAAACAATAGCTTTAGCTGCTGATTTAGCTTTTAGTTGCTGTTTCACCTGTTTAGACCTTTAGAAACTGTAGCTTTAAGCTGCTATTTCACATTAGCTTTTAGCTGCTGTTTGGCTAATTTGACAGCAGATCGTAAACTTTCAAACTATCACAAAAAATCTAAAAYCTGTTCTCCATAAATACCCAAAGTTTTCCTGTGAGTGAGTGTGGACAGCTGAAGCCTTGTTTTTGTCTTCTTGTCTCTGCAGGGGGTCAAACTCTTGGACCAATCAGAAGCTCGGCAGGGAATCCACCTGAAAACAAGTCGAACCATCTTCAGCCTGTTTTTGGATCTTTGTGCCTTCAACCCTGAGGATTCTCCTGGTGACGATGATGATGATGGTGATGATGATGATGATGATGATGATGATGGTGATGATGATGATGGTGATGATGATGATGATGATGATGATGATGGTGATGATGGTGATAATGGTGATGATGATGATGATGATGGTGATGGTGATGATGATGATGGTGATGATGATGATGATGAAGGAGGGTTTGGCTCGTCCTGTCTTCTCTCTGCAGGACATTCGGCTGGTTTAGATGTCCTCCTCTTTTCTACAGCTGTCAGTGACCCTCGCTGTGCGATACTYGTGGACATTTTGTGAATTTGACTCGTGGACGAACTCTTCGGTTTATTTTTTTCTAACAATGTTTTCCTGATTTCTATTTTTCTAAAACGGTGGGACAGGTGAGAGGACACACCTGGACCTGTCCTCAAAGAGTCCACATGTTTGGTAGATATCAACCTTTCCTTCCTTCCTGCTCAGACCAGGACCAAAAGCCATAACCTTTCTCAGCTCCAACAGACTCTTTGAACACAACGCGATGCATTCAGGGTCCCACAGATGGGGYGGACACCACAGACTCCTCGTCTCAGACTTTTACATGATATTTTGTGTATTTTGAGCCATTTCAATTCAAAGTATTTAGTATTTTCTACCTGTTTAGTCTTGGTTTTGTATTTCCTGCTACATACCAGAGAAACATGGAGCCTTTGAAGGAACCAGACAGAAAACTGGAAATTCTCTGCAGTTAGATGAAAAAGTTTGACCTAACTGACCTTCAAAGTAAAGCGTTAGATGGCCTGGTGCTAAATTAGATGTTTAATCCTCAGAGGGTTTAGTTTTTAAAGAAACTGAATCAGTTTTTGTTTGAAGTTTTAAAACTTATGTTGTTTGTAACTTTTATTTTTCTGAATTTTTCCAGAGATTTTATTCATCAGTTTTTACAAAAATCTCATCATTTTTCTGATCATAAACAGAATTTTTAAACCATTTAAAAGTAAAAATCCAATAACTTGTTTTTGTTTTTCATATCAAGTTTTGGGGGGGAAAATGTAATTCCTAAAAGAGTTTTAAACTTTCTGGAGCTTCCAGAGGGTCACTATGATCCAGGACCTACGGGGTCCAGTTTTTCAGGATTTCCAGAGGATTCTGTTCCGTTTCTTTAAGCTGCTGCTGCTGGACACAAACATCCTCCGGTTCCCACTCACTGACCGTTCCTACCCGTTGACTGTTCCTACCTGCACGTTCACATTAGCGTATGTTAGTACCACCTGTTCACTGTTCCTACCTGTTACCGCCCATTGACCGTTCCTACCTGTTACCACACGTTGACCATTCCTACCTGTTACCACACGTTGACCATTCCTACCTGTTACCACACGTTGACCATTCCTACCTGTTACCACACGTTGACCATTCCTACCTGTCCATCATATAGTAAGCTGTCTATGATGACCAAAATTACCAAAACTTTTTTTTGGTCCGGATTCTTCTGTAATTGTTCAGACTTGTGTAAGTTCCAACCTAACATGAGAGCTGGGAGTTAGTCTGGTGGTGAAGTCGCCAGACTTTGGTGCAGAAGATCAAGAGTTCAAATCCCACCAAGTCTGTTCACAGTTTTGAAACATTTCTTCTCTTCCACTCAGGTAAATGACTAAACTTAGGGAAGTTAAACCACTTCATAAGAGCTGGCAGGTAGTCCAGTGGATTGGTCCTACGACTATTGGTGCATGACTGATCTGTGTGCAGGGTTCAAATCCCAGAGCCTCAAACATAGCTCCTCAATGAGTCTGAGAGAAAAACATTTCATCAAACAAGGGGTGTTTGAAGCTCCACCCCCTCATCAGATCTTTAATCTAATCCTATATGTAACTATCTGCAGGAGTTCAAATTTAAAAACTTTAAACCTGAGGATGCTGGTTGTGGGATTTGAACTCAGAACCTTTGGTCCAACAGCTAAATGTCTAACCCACTGGACTAC